TATAAAATAAAAAATTACGGGATGCTTTGTTAGCTTCAAACGAATCCAGCAGAGCACCCCAGTTTTTTTTTAAACCACACCACATTTTTTGGCTCCTACAATATTATAAAATATTCGAAATTTGACATTTTTAAAAAAAATTCGCAATTCCTTGCTGACTTCAAAGTTTTTTTTCTGAAAACAAATATACTTACCACATTTTTAGGATTTTAAAACAGCCTAAACATGTGTCATAAGTAGTTGTTTTTATATATTAAAAAAGTGAAGTGTCCTGCTGACTTTGTTCCAACAAAGCACCCTGTATTATTTAAAAATAGCAATTTTTTTAGTAAAGTTTTACAATATTTCAAGAGTCTAAAAATGGCTCTGCTGGCTTCTTTCGAAGGTTAGCAAGCACCATGTATTTTTTAAAAATATAATATTTCAAGTGCATAAATATATGGTGTTGCTGTTTTTACAGAAAAAACTTTATAAAACAGAGGTGCTTTGCTGACTTCGTTCGAAGCTATCAGAGCATTTTAAGTTTTGCATAAAACGAGGAGCATAAAATTTTTGAAAAGGGTATAAAAATAGCCTAAAAATATGGCATGTTTTAACTCAAAATTTCATAGGTGCTCTGCAGCATTCTTTGGTATCATAATTATTACTAGGTTCACTAACAAAATCTATTTCTAGATTATTTTAACACTTGCTGCGATTACAAAAAATGTCTCTTTATGTCAAAATTAGAAAAAAATATTTATAAGAATAAAGGGCCTTATACACTGTTTATTATATGTGATATAAAAACAAAAAAGCATAATAAATATTACAAGCCTTGAGATTCAACATATCCTAAGCATTGTGCACTAAAAAACAGCCACATCATAAGGTTTTTGCTGTACTTTATGTTTAGGTGTAATTTGTCTCCTTCTTTCTTATGGAAAAAGTAAATATCTCCATATTCTTGCTTGGCAGATCTAAAAATAAAACCTGAGATAAATATGTTTTACTATAAAGTGTACTGCTTCATATAAGCTGTAACTACCTACCATTAAAACAATTTATAAATAAAGTTTTACCTTTCTATCTTTTGGAAACTGAGTATTGTTAAAAAATGCAGTAATCATCTCGGTAATCATATTTTCGTTTACAATGGGAAAAATACTTGATTCAACTTTTATAAATACAGCTGATAAATTCATATTCTTCTTCCTTTATATATCCTATATCCCACAGGATAATTTACCCAGATAAATTCAGATTAATAATAAAATTAAACCAAAACAAAAAACTAAGGTTAGTTGTTAGGTGCTGTCAATTTTTAAATGTCACTTAGATGTGCGTTCACTTCGACATTCTGTATGTAGGTTTGTTCGTTGGCTTGGTTTTGTAAAACAAAAAAAACTTCGACACAAGCTGATTGGTCTATTCCCGATGACGTATAATTTCAAATTTTAAATTTCAATTGGGCTTAATTTAAAAACTTTTAGTTTTTTTAACGAACTGATTATTTAGAATAACTTGTATAGCGACTAACTATTACAATATAGTTTATAAAACAGCATATCTCACATGTGAACATGGCCCATTATTTTATGAATAATTCTTTTTCAAAACCTCTTTATTTCTCCATCTCAACTTTAAGACTTGTAAAGAAAGGTTCAATAACAGGTTGTAAACAAATTGGGTTTTTGCAATTTCTCTCATTTGTAAATATTTATCTTTACTGAAAATTAATATGACTAAACGTTTATTATTTCTAAAACTAGACATTTCATGATCTAATTTTACCAATTAGTATTTTTAACAATATCCACATTATACAGGGTGTAACTAAATAAGTGTAAAACATTTAAGGGGGTGATTCCTCATAGATAGGATCTTTCATATAAAGAAACTTCATTGGAGCATCCCTTGTTAAGATACAGCCCCTTAAAGGGGGTACATAAAATTTGTTTAACAATTTTTTTCACAAGCACTAAACAAGTTACAATATTAAAATTAACCTGTCATTCTACTACCAAAAAGACACTTAGCCAGTAATTTATTTGGTTTACCCCATGGTTGTAAGGGGTGGAAAACGTAACCCCTAAAATTTCGTTCCAACGTAACTTTTTGTCTTATTATTTGTTTACCATTTAAAATGTTATTTCCGATAGCCTGTTTCATTCTAAACAAAAAATGTCTCTTGAATTTTTTGCCCAAAATAAACCAGTTCGCAGCAAAAACTAACCTAAAAGTTTTAAAACTAAAATAATTTTAACTCCCAAAAAGCAATAATAAACATGCTGTTTTAGTTATAGCTGATAATAACTTATTCGTACTTATACGGACAATATCTATTTCGAATAAAATAACAACTCTTTTATAATATAAACAAATTGGTTGGCATTATAATGCAAATTTCGTCTCACAAGAGGCATTTTAAACACAAAACGATAATAGGGTATTACATTTCAGATTTATATTCCCTATTAGCCGTTTATAGTAAATTGGATAAAGATCCGATGCCGATTTGGAATTAAATATAGTGTGTATTATCTAATAAATGTTTAATGCGCTTATTCGCTGCTATTATAAATATTATATAATAGGGATTTGCTCCCAAAGTTACGAAAAGCCCCATGTGTTGATATTTAAATGTAAACTCAATTTGTTGAACTAAACCAACCAGTAAAAAATGGACATTATCCTAACTCAAAATGTAGATCTATATACGCAATACATCTATCTACATCTACATCTATCTACGCAATACAAAGTAACCATTTTCTTCCTAATGAATAATATTTTTTAACTTTAAGCCTAGGGGAGAATATAAAGAAAAAGAAGAAAGCAAATCGAAGTCTAAACAGGTAATCAACAGAAAACATAATGAAAAGATTAACCAAGATTAAGAAAAAAATATACGGTTAACTATCAAACATAAATAAATTATTATCTAAGTGGCCTTTCTGTTTAAAAATTCATCATTTTATTTTTTTATTAATTATCAATATTTTCTATGCTATTTAATAATAATTAATTATTTTACCCACTTTGATTATTGTCAAGGAGGGCAAATTAGGAATTACATGTAGGTAACTAATTCAACATAAATCTAAATTTGCATTTATTAGATTAGACACTTCAGTAAGTAATTTTCGTGGATCTTCCGTAAAGCGACTTAAAAGAACTTTTGAGAAAGAATCGCCAAAACTATTCAAGTTTTCTAGATACACCGAGCATTCAAATCCTGTTTAGTCTTTCTTAAATTATTCTTTATTTTTAACAAGTTTTTACTTGTCTGATAGTACTACCAAATGACCTTTCAATGGTAGATGTAGAATAAAATACTACCATTAAAATATTGTATGCCTGTTTTTAAAGTTTGGATAGAAAGTTTCTACATTGAGTTCAAGTATTTTATCTCTAAATATTCAAGATTCTCCTCCCCGTTAAAAAATAATCAGTGAGAGCTCAAGCAATCGCCTCTAATTAATAACACTTCTTTCATACACATTTTTATCACATAACGATAATAACATACGCAGCTTTGGTGTGGTGGCTAAAGACACAGTAAAGGAGAGCAATAACGAGGCTAAGCAAGGTACAAAGACTTGCCTGCCTCGGAATAACGGGGGCAATGAAAACAACCCCCACCGCAGCAATGGAAGCACTAATAGGACTCCCACCTCTTCACTATGTGATACAAGGGGAGGCAAAATTAGGTGCTTACAGATTATGGAATACACTGGGAAATCTTGACATTAGGCCAGGTCATATGAGTATCTCAAGGTTAGTGACAGGAGACGTGCTAGACATGAGATCAGACCACATAACCAAGAGGTACTCTTTTAATACTCCATTTGAGGTTTTAATACAGGAAACAGCGGAGATCACCATAAGGGAGTCCAATGCCCAACGACTGGAACAAACCTAGTATACAGACAGGTCTAAGACTGCGGAAGGCACTGGGGCGGGAGTATTCTTCAAAAACCCTGATACTAACCATAGCTATGCTATAGGAATACATTTCTCGGTATTTCAGGCCGAGGTATACGCAATAATGAATAATGAAAGAGCTGTCGAAAATCAGCATATTCAAATAATGTCAGACAGCCAAGCGGCACTTAAGGCCATATCGAGTCAGAAAGTTACATCGAGGTTGGTATGGGAATGCATTGAAGAACTAATAACACTGGCAGACCGAAATAGAGTAAAACTATTTTTGGGTGTTAGGTCACCAAGGGATCGAAGACAACGAAAAGGCTGACAAACTTCCAAAAAGAGGGTCAGAAGAAACACCGGAACCAGACACAAACCCAGGAGTACCAAAAAGTACAGTCCGGGGTTTCATAAACGACTGGATTCGGAAACAACATATCAACTATTGGGAAAGCACCCCAAAACAGGCACAAGCCTTCATAGACAGACCATGTCCCAAAAGAACTAGAGAATCACTCTTTGTTGAAAGTGATAACAGGGTTCATGACTGGATACGCCCCAGTAAAGGGACACTTGAACAAAATTGGCATGTACAATGGGGAACTTATGTGCCGACTATGTCACAAGAAACCAGAAACGGCCAAACACATACTGTGCGAATCGAAGCTCTAGATCGCAAAAGACAAGCTCTTTTTGGACAACCCCAGGTTGATCCAACAACGTATAGAACCCACTCACCCAAGGATCTGTACAAACTTGTACAAGGTACAAAGGTGACAGAGTGGGTGCTATGAACTAACATGGGGTAAAACACAATAAGCCAATAGGCTTCAGTGTTATTCGGAGACATAGTCAGACGAGCCCAGGAGAAAAAAAAACACATTTTTAAATCTAATGCAGGTGTAATTTTTGCTATCTGAGCAGGATGTAACAACGATAGAATAATTGCCGGAGATTTATCTTGAATAAACTTCGTTTCCTGTGAGGATAGTAACGAGTCCAAAAAGGTCACGTATAGCGAATGGCAGCTGGATATTATTATCTGTAGTTTTGGCGCCCTGCAGCCCATGGAAGATGCAGATCTATGTGGATTAATTTAATAATTCCTCACTGCCTTTTTCGGCAGAACGCTTGTGTCCTGCAACTGCATATGATATTGTTAAGTTGTGCTCTGCATTTTTGGTTGCGTCCATGGTTTTAGATTGCAATGTGTTCCCGACTGGTTCCAGTAGGGAGTTGTACTTGTCTATATTACATAAGGCTAATATGAATACAGTTTGAATAACAGCAGATAACAATTAAAAGCCACTTTTCTAGTTCTGTAATTTCCTTTTTGGGAAAACTTTTCCACACCATTTATGATGAAATGCTTCTTAGATATGTTTTCTGCTTCACATTGCAATATGATTTTTGGTGTATATTTTCAACGCAAAACTGGTTCTCTAAAACAATAATTGATCGCATCTTTGGCAGTTCCAATGGAGTTGCAAAACAGGAACATCGTTTAAATTGTGGCATCGCAATGAAAATATAGACTATTCTTACATGTTTTTCTCAATATTCGTCCTAACTCTGTCCCAAGCATTTGTTAACATTCATATTCAATGTATTAACGAAGTTAATAATTTTTTTAGCTCGACAAAATCATACATTCTTCCCTAACATTTTTTTCTTATGACGCCTATGGAATGTGACGTTATATCCCCACTTTTACTGTACTCTTATTTTAATCATACAAAAGGCATGGACACTTATTTGTACTAGGAATGGAAACAAAATTAACCAGCTAAATGTATGGGAGGAAGGGCCCAGGGGTGGCAGTCCAGATCCCTCTGCCCACTGGAGTACGCCCATGGCTGTTTATGTATAAATGACATACTTTTTACCTTTGTCCTTACTATTGTCGTGCGAGCCGTTTTCAGCTAATCCGGTATGTCTCCGATGACGCAAGCTAGTCTAGCGATATGAATGTTGTCCACTACAAGAAGTTACTGCAAAGACCTGATTCACACTCATCTACAAAAGGCATCTAGAACATCCGAGGGTCGTAGGGACAGGGCATCGTACGCGACTTTATCTAGTTGTTAGATAACAGCTAAATATTATGTAGTAAAGATACATTAAGATAAATATAAATTTGTTATAATATTAACATGTGTATTACTATCCAATTTATTGATTGCATGGTAATTTAATAGATAAATAGTTGATTTATCGAATGTGTCAAAAAAATTGATAAATTACCCTGCACTTTTAGTCCTGTAAAGGTGTTTCTTTAGCGGAGTATCAACTATGCTGTAGAAATTAAATTTCCAAAAATTACAGCTTTTTAATATTATAGGTTTTTGAGATACAGGATTTGACTTAAGAAATACCCACTTCACGACAAGTCAAAGCGTGAGTCAACAGTTAGCACCGGCGTAGTTCGGACTCTAAAAGGATCCGAGATTAATATTGGTGATTCGAATACGAATCCTTAAGAATTTCCTCGGCGAATCCGGATCATGGATCCTTTTTTTCTTAAGTATTCGAATACCGCTCGCGGATCCTCAAAAAGAATTCGAATCCTATGTGATTCGAATCCTCCCCAGCTCTGGTAACTGGTAATAAAAAGGGTAATTTGTTAAGTTTAACACCCTGTATCTCAAAAACCAATCATGGAAAAGAGTTATAATTTTGGAAAATATCTTCTACAGAATGGATGATACGCCAGTGAAAAAATATGTATAATTTTACAAGACCAATCAAAAGTTAGGGTTCTTAAAAAAATTGTTGTTTTGACACATTCGATAAATTAATTATCAATATATTTATTAAATCACCCTGTAGTCAATTAATTGGATAATTATACATATGGTAAATACACAAATTTCGTAAGAATACTGCTTTTCACATTATTACTTATAAAAAAATATATTGGCCTATGTTGATATTTACGAATCACCCTGTATAAATGAGTCCTAAAATCTTTAAATTATCATTAGATATGATAAATATAGCTATAATTTATTTTTTAGCAAACATTTTCACCTTCTAGAACGATAAAGTAATTATCCAAAAATGTCCTTACCTATTTGTGGCTCACCCTGTAAAGGAAAATAATTTTTGACCCCTTTTTACTTTCCTATCTGTATACAGATATAAGGAAAGTATAGGAATCATGATTTTTTTCGACCTCGAGTTTTCGACGGATTTTTACGTTTTGAGGTCCCCTGAATCCGTTTTGACTATTTTCGCGATGATGTCTGTGTGTGTGTGTGTGTGTGTGTGTGTGTCAGTGTGTGTGTGTGTGTGTGTGTGTGTGTGTGTGTGTCAGTGTGTGTGTGTCAGTGTGTGTGTCAGTGTGTGTGTGTGTGTGTGTGTCTGTATAACGCATAACTCATGAACCGATACACAGAAAAACACCAAATTTTAAACTTAAGCTTTGTTTCAGCGTCCAATGAGCTGATTAGATTTTGGGCAGTGTCGGAACATCTGGGGGGGTACTTTATAGGTGGTCATTTTTATATTTTATGGAATATATCTGTTATTTACGGTTGAAGAAGAAAATTCTTCAAATAAAAGCTACTTCTAATATAATTATCTATAATTTTTGTTTTATGCAAAATTTTCCTAAAATGGTCCGTATTCGAGAAATTTGACAAAATGTAAAAAAAAAATAATTTTTTATAAAAATTGTTCAAATAAAAGTTGTTTGCAATATAATTCTCTATAATTTTTATTCTATACATAATTTCTCTAAAATGGACCGTATTCGAGATATTTGAGAAAATGTGTAAATTTCGAATTTTGAAGAAAATTCAAAAACGGATAAAGAAAAAAACATTAAATTTTAAACTTAAGGTTTATTTCGGCCTGACGTGAAATGATTAGATTTTGGACAAAGTCGGAACATCTGGGGGGGGGGGGTACTTTATGAAAGGCCGTTTTTATATTTTAAGGAATATATCTGTTATTTATGTTTGAAGAAGAAAATTGTTCAAATAAAAGTTACTTCTAATATTATTATCTATAATTTTTGTTTTATGTCAAAATTTCCTGAAATGGTCCGTATTCGAGAAATTTGACAAAATGTGCAAAATTCTGATTTTTAAGAAAATTGTTAAACTAAAAGTTGTTTGCGATATTGATCTCTATAATTTTTGTTTTTACATGATTTTTCGAAAATGAACCGTAATGGAAAAATTGGAGAAAAGTACTAAATTTAAATTTTTCAGTACTTTCGTTTTCAATGAATATCTGTAAAAAAATGTTTCGAGTTAAATGTATGTGGAAATGTATACATTTAGTTTATTCCCTAAATATTTATAGAGGAGGTATAATAGGTTGTACAAAATAACCGCCTATAAAGCCTATAATAACTAGATAGGAAAGTCATGTGTTGGACACATCAGATTTTTATATTCGTAGAATGCCAAAATATATTACAATAAGATTTGACACAAAAAATTATAATCGATTAACTTTCTCCTGAAATAACTGTTATCAAATAAGTGGTATTTAGTTTAACATCCTGTATCTGAAAAACTAGTCATAGGATTTGAATGGTATCATGAACACTATTGCTTAAGAGGTCGAAAAATGTATGACATTTAACTTTTCCATAAGCAGTGTGCGGGGTCTTTTGCGTATAAGTGTATAAATAGATTATATAAATAAATTGTTTAAAATAAATAAACGTTACAGTATCTTATTTATAATCTTATCTTAAAATAAGTGAGCACTAACCTTACAAAAGTCAAATTAAATTAATCAGCTATACAGGGTGTTATTGAAATACACGTACATATTAAAACTGGGTATTGCGCAGATCCCCACTGAATGTAGAAAAATATTATTTTTTAAAAATACCCCTTATTAAGGGAGTTATTAATTTTTGAAAATTAATTCTAAAACAAACGTACTTCACTGATATGTTGAGGATGACCTATATAAATTAGGTTTATTTACCTATTTTAAACATCAACAGTAATTAATATGCAAGTTTTTGTCAGATGATAAGAAAACTAGTCTTGTAAGAAATAACCATGTTGCCAAGATTTTCGAATTAATTTCTATTTCCGAAGACTGGTTTTTACTACCCTCGTTATCAAAAAACTAGAATATTTGATAAATGATTGTTTTTAAACTATACATTTTTGAAACTATAGATTATTAAAATTTTAGTTGATTTACGAATCTGGCTAACACGAGCGCGTCATTTCCTAGTTGGTAAAAAGTGTTGTTACGATTACTTTTAAATATTTTTTTACGATGCCACTATTTACGAATATTGAACTAACGGATATAGTGCTGGTTTATGGGGCAGCTGGAGAAAATTCTCGGCAAGCACAAATCCTGTATCGCGAACGGTTTCCAAATCGGAGAATTCCGGACTGTCGTACGTTTATTTCAACTGTTCAGCATCTAAGAGACCATGGAAAATTTGAGAGTGTCAATGCAGATCGAGGGAGAACAAGAACACAAAGAATATTGGCGGCCGAAGAAGAAATATTGGAAGCTGTTGAAAACCGGCCTCAATTAAGTTGTAGAAGACTAGGTCTTGAAATTGGAGTGTCCTCATTTGTTGTGTGGCGGGCACTTAAAGAACAAGGTTTACATCCTTATCACATCCAAAAAGTCCAGGCCTTATATCCAGGTGATGAAGAAAAGAGAGTGGAGTTTTGTGAATGGATGATTCAAAAATGTGTTGATATTCCTGATTTTCTAAAAATATTATTGTATACTGACGAGGCTTCATTCACTCGTGATGGCGTGTTCAATATGCACAATACGCATATTTGGAGTGATGAAAATCCTCACGCCATTAGGGAAACTGGGCATCAAAGAAAATTTTCAATAAATGTTTGGGCTGGCATAATAGATCAGTATTTAATCGGGCCTTATGTTCTCCCGAACAGATTAAATGGGCCAGGATATCTCCAATTTTTAGAAGATATTTTGCCAGTACTCCTAGAAGAGATACCGTTACAATTAAGGCAACGGATGTGGTACCTACTAGATGGCGCTCCTCCTCACTTTGATTTAAACGTACGGCAGTTTTTGAACATTAGATTTCCTCAAAAGTGGATAGGCAGAAATGGACCTACTAAGTGGCCTCCGAGATCTCCGGACTTAAATCCATGCGATTTCTTTTTGTGGGGTCACATGAAACAACTGGTTTATAATGAACCTATTAATAGTGTTGAACAATTAACCAATAAAGTTAATGCGGTAGCCGAGGAACTACGACAAAATCCAAGACTA